GATCTACAGAGGGCAACTTTCGAATAAATCACCCAGTTGCACGATTTTCCATGCATAGCTTTTAGCTGAGTATCAGACGAAAATGGTCGCAGACACTGTTCCACGAACTATTTAGGGCTATGCATGGCCACATGATACGTCAAATGCAAGCCTACCGCCTGCTTCAACTACCGCAGTACCATCCAAACATGCGACGCTCGATTCGCGAGTTACAGGCCGTGAATCTCAGCGAACGGATCCCAGCTTGAGTCGGTGTGTCGCTCGTACTCTAGTATCTTGGAGAGATCTTGAGCTACCTCTTCGCCCCAATGGGCAGCAACGAACGCGAACATCCCATCGAGTCCTGCCGAAACCCCGGATGTCGTCCAAACGTTGCCGTCGCGAACCCATCGCGCGTGTGGCACCCATTTCACGTTTGGACCGTCAGCCTTGACCATCTCGAAGAAAGCCTGTCGCATAGTCTTGAGCTTTTGGCGCTCATCCCATGGGCACTTCGTACCTTGTTTGAGGTCGCATTCCTTCCATCCAGTACACCCGCGCGCGCTGCGAGTGACGACCCAGTGCACACAGTGAACAGGTGTCCGAGCTTCGGGAATACGTCTTTGATGAAGGCGATAGCGGCCTGTATCTCCGGGGTTGAGGTGTGCGCGCCGAAGCCGCCGGGGATGATCAATACGTCAAGATCTTTCGGAGGATCGGCAAACGTATGCGTGGGTACGATAGACTGCGCGAAGTTGGAGCCCGTCGGGAGCTGCAAGGCTCCCGATGGTGGTCTGGTCGTCACTGGGTCGAGCGTCGATGCGAGGACCGAGAGCGAGATACCTTGCTTGAGAGAGAGCGTGTTGAGGATATCGAGTGGGCCAAAAGCATCTAGAGCTCTATAGATGGATCGATCTCCATCAGTACTCATGTAGGGAGAGCAAGAGCAGGGATACGCACTGGAAGCCCGTGAAGACGAGAACGCCAAAGTGTGTTGCTGAGTTATATGCCATGTCAAGTGCGGTCATACTGACACTCACGTTAACGCACCGGCAGGCTTTTCCGTCATGATGGGTAGTGCAAGACAGGATGGGCTGCGAGATAGGTTGTGTTGTGGCCGGCCTGCCTATCGATCCAAATCCTTCACACGATCCATCCTCGGGCGAGTCTGTCTTATGGCGACATGTCACCGGTTAGCATCGGGTTATGTTACACAGCACAGGCGCCCGTCCGTCAGGTGGTCCATGCAGGATGGGCCTGGTCACTCGCGGCATCAGAGCATAGAGCAAGAAGCCGGAAAGACGATCCCGCAATATCACTGCAACTTCACTTGTCCATGAAACATAGGACGTAACCCAGCTTGTAACAGACTTGCCATGATGGAGACTATTGAGGGGGTACGTGCGCCACAACGGCCATTCGAGAACACGTCCAGAGTACATCGTCTTTAGGTGCTACCGCGTAGACGCGAGTCACCTAAATGCTACTTCAACTCGAAGTACTGGTCGGTTGAACCGCGACGGTCCTTAGTTTGGGCATACGAGCCGGCTAAAGTATGAGGCGGTTCGCCTCTTAACACCTCTGCAGGAGCTCTAACGCCCGCGATATGATTTCTCCTCTCGCGTACGGTGTCGGGCGGGATATATTACGAATCACGGTCAATCTTTTCACTATACTCGCAGGGTCGTACTAGAATTGACGCTTTCTACTGGCCTCCTCCGTCTCAGACACAGCCCTTGTATTCCTTCACGACCATGAACCGAGTCATCTCGGGCACTCGACCAGTGTGCGACACGGGTTGGGGAATCGGCTTGCTCGCTACTTATCTGAATACTCGGACAGTCGTAGTTGGCGTATCGTGGGGAGAAGCACCACACGCTGATGGCTGCAGATGAGTGCAGCGCTATTTGTAATCGATACAGTGGCCATTCCGGTTCGAACCGAGACGGCGACTTTCATCTTCTTGCAGTTGATACGCGTCGAACCCTTGTAGTGGCCACGGGCGACAGCCGGCGTAATAAGACATCTTTCCAGCCGCTTCGCCGCGGGGAGAGTTCCCTCTGCACTACCATCTTCGCATGACTTCGGGCTCTCAGATCTCGAACACAACGGTGAAATGTTGGTTAACCGGCACTCAGGGTCAACAGGCGCTACCCGTCGAGCTATCATACTGTTGGCTCGATCCTGGGCTGTCCATCCATGTGTTCGACAGGCCCGACACATCTCAGTATAAATAACGCTGTAATTGGCCTTCCTGCAAGGGTGCCCGCACATCTACAAGCCGGGACCGAATAGGTTTGAAGGCACTCGTCTGCTTCTTTTGGGAAGTACTGCTGTGCTGTGCTGCGTGATGGCTTCTCAGCTCTGTCTATGACGGGCCGCGGTTACCAATGCGAATCCCGATCACGAGAAAAGAGAAGAACGTACCGCCAAACATGCCGACGGATCTCTCGCACCGTACAACGCAGAAGCATTGTTCGAACCGCAGTGCTTGCTCACAACAGCTGTGGTTCGAGCCAGTCCGTACTGGGCGGACACTGCATTGCACGCGCTCGTCCGTTTGGGCATCATGCGGGAGAAGAGAAGCAAACCCCCATAATGAACGCGATACTCGGGAAGAATCTTCATCAGTCCTGTTCAGAAGAGCTCAGGACGTGTGCTATGAGCTCGCTGAAGCAGACGCCGAGACGATGGTAATTCATACCGGTTCAGATCTTGGAACGAGTCCATGCTTCGAGTCTTGCACCTGGTTGTACAGCTGTCTGAAGGTCAGCAAACACAGTACTCTTTGTGACAGGTGACCAGTGAGAACATTCACTATGCCTAGTTACGATCCTCGCGTTTCATTGTGCCAACAAGAGAGCGACCATCGCAGGGTATCGGCTGTCACCTTTGGGTCGTCAATAACTGTTGCGCGAGTATTGAGGCTCCCTCATCATGTAAGGCTCGTGGCTCCATTGTTTGTCCAGGATCGAGGCAGACAGTCAGCGAGCTCAGATCAGCAGTGCTTGGGGTATCGGACAGCTTGACAGCCTGGTTTGAATATTTAGATATCTGCGGATGGACGATGCTGAAGGCAGCGGCTACTTTCGATAGCAGTGTTCGGGCTGCCGGAACTCGTGCCCATCTTACGATCTGAGAGCGATACGAACGACTGCTGAAGCGCTGAAGGTGTACTGCTCTAATAAAGGATTTGTGACTGCTGCCTGCACGGCCAGCCGGCCACCATGGGACCGAACACGCGCTTTCAGGCACTTTCGCCAGGCTAGTTCCCACCTATGTCTATGTCTGATAGTTAACGCCCATTTTCTGTCAGATACACCATATGGTGATCTTCTATGACTTTACGCCCCGCGTCATCCCGGATTAGTTATATTTCCCAGTCCGTGCAGCGTTGGCCCCCAAGACATCCGATGAAGAGGGGACGCGCATATTCGTATTAGACTGCACCTCGACTTGGATCTCGATATCCAAAATCTTCGGTTCAACTCAGGGCAGTAGAATGGAACGTTGGTTGCGCAGCGTGGCCGTGCCAGTCGGTGATCATGATACGGTGATGGATGGCAGGTAAAGAAATCGCATTGGTCCTGTTCAGGTCGGGAGACGCTAGGCTACTCTCGGGAGGTATACAACAGGCATATCACACGCCGAGTCCGAGTCGGGAGGCGAGCAGGATAGCAAACGTCAATTCGAGTTCGATTGTTCGTACTGGTCATGAAGGAGCGTATGTGTTCGTGGCAAAAGAATAAAAACGAGATAAAGTTAAACCCGAGGAAGAACGGAATACTTATACAGCGGATGGTTCGTCCAATCGGGCGGAAGCCAGAAAACATGCATGGTACAAGCGCTGCCCAGGCGAAGTGTGCCGTCGAAAGATGCGATGATGGTTGAAGAAAGGTTCCGCGCCGCAATCGCGACATCAACAAGCCGCCACTTCGAGCGCGTGATCGATGGCGTTGTCGATTGCACCCCAGTCGAGCTCGCCGCCGTCGCTCGTCCACGCATCATCGCTCTCTGATGCTCTCCCCGACGTCCCTGCGATCCAAACCGGCATCCGAGAGCGCATGATTGGTGTGGTGCCCTCACCCGGTGGGCTGCGCGGTGGAGGGAGTAGCGGTAGTGGGCGCACGCGCGCGGGTGTGCCATCTCCCAGAGCAAAGGAAGAACGATTCGGAGGAGGCGTCGCCGGTAGCACGACGAGCTTGCGTGGTGGTGTGGCGAAATGCGGCGGCAAGGCTCTCGGACCCTCGGCCTCTGAATCGGAACTCTGAGGCGCGCTAGGCGGCTTCATACGGGGTGGCGCACGCTGCGGAGGGATCGCGCGAGTTCGGCGCTGGCGCGCGCGCGCAAATGATAGTGCTACAGTAGCGCGTGGCGAGGTAGCCACGCGGGCAGGCCGGGACGCATGACGCGGTGATTTGGGCGGGACGACTGGAGGTGGGGGCGACACCAGAGGCGGCGGCATAGGAAAGTCGGAAATGGAAAACGGCGTAGAAGCGCCAGATGCAGTGGCGGAAGGCGGCCTGAGCGTGACCGACGAAGCTGGCTCAACGGCACGCGGGGTTGCACTGTCGTCCAGACTTCTGCGCGAGGTTGATGCCTTCGCGTACATGTGCGGAGTCGAGGGTGCCGAAGAGATGATGACCGACAGCTGAGGCGGACGCGATGAGGGCATCGTGGGCGCGCGTGGGCGTGTGGGTGCTGGTGAGCTCATCGGGCGCGGCAGGGGGCGAATGGGTCCGGAGGCCGTGCTGGAGCGGTGGTGGGATGGACTGGGCGATGGCGTCCGCGGCAGAGGGCGAAGCTTGCCGCTGAACGTTGAGCTGGTGGATCTAAACGGAGGTTTATTCGATGCACGATGATTGCTGAGCAAAGTCACGCACGATGGAGAGCCGGGCAAGGAAGTCGGGGGTGTCGCGGGGAAGTCCGAAGAGCTCTCCGAACTCAAGGACACGACCGAGGAAACCATAGACTCGTCGGAATTCGAACCAGAGCTCGTCGAGCTCGTCGACGCGCGCTGACTTCTGTGATCGTCGACAATACTAGACATGGGCGAGACCGGGGAGAGCAGCTGAGAGTCAATAGACGGCAGAATCCGAGGCGAAACGGGAGAAGAAGGGCCGAAAGGGAAAGGGACAGCGACGGCAGGAGAAACTGGGGAGGGCAAGTGGGTAAAGCCCGGTTGGAGATGATACTCCGGTTTATGAGCGGCCGAGGTCTGCGAGGGGCCGAAAGGCAGTGGCTGCGCGCGCGATTGGCGTCTCATTGGATATTACAGTGATGAATGAGGACGATGATGAGCGGTGCAGATGCAGTTGGGCTCAGGTTCGCCGTCGGTCGTGGCGTCGATTAGTTCGCCAGACCTGGTATGCGATGTATGGGTGCGGTCAGGTCGGGATTTGATAGCATCTGGAGAGGCGTGTGGGATATATAGCGTATGCTGCACCGTGCTCTTCGGCATCAGACCTCCCGCGAGTACGAGAATCCAAGGCACCTACTTCCCCGTGAGAAGACGCCATCATCACAAACCGATCCACCTGGAGATCGAACCGGCCCGATCGCGGCTGATCGCGGTTCGTGCACCAGAAAAATCATGTCTCTTTCCGACGACGAGCGCCTGGATAGCCAGGACCCCCTTCGTCACCTCAGAGCAACAGACGAGGAACTCGTCCCGGAGCAGCCAAGGTCGATACATGATGAGCTGGTCAGACTTGACGTTCCTATGGGCGGATCGCCCGATAAGACTGTACAACTGTCACTCGCCGTCGACGCTGGACCAGGCTGTGGCGGTATAACCTGGCCTGCAGGCGAGGTACGCGCACGCTCACCTTCCCACCGTCGTACCCCGTCATCGTGCCACCTCCCTACTACCTACAACGACGAAGATACTCCTCGTGGATCCCCATCCTCGTAATGCAATCACGTATCCTGACCCTGCATGACTTTGCTCTCCACTCAGGTCCTCACACGCTACCTTGCTCGTCGAGGTCCGGACGCGCTCTCCGGTAGACGCGTCCTCGAACTTGGCAGTGGTACAGGCCTTGTGGGACTGCTAGCGGGCGCGTTAGGAGCGCGCGTCTACATTACAGACCAAGCGTACGTAGCATTCGAGTGTTTTACCTCTTTCGTTTCGTTATGGACGCCCGCGGACGAGAGCACAATCATCGCCGTGTGCCGCCGGCTTAGATGCAACATTTGGCAGAACTCATTACGGACGCCACTACGCATCGGCCTTTGGTAACTGGATCGGTACATAATGAAAGTCTTCGCACGTGTGCCGCGTAGACAATGACTCCTGTGCTCTGGAGTCGTGAACGCCTCTTCAACACCAATATGGGCCTGTGCCTGTGTTGACATACTCTCACTGCAGTCTGACACCATACCTCTGACGAGTCCTCGTTCTGACCATCCCGTACAGATCACTGGTAGCGACAATGGAGAAGAACATCGCGCTCAATGCCACGATCGCGCCGAACGTGCGCGCGGCAGAGCTCAACTGGTGCCCACATATCCATCCGTAACCCTACGACCTGATGCGAGCCTCTTGATCTGTATAGGGGCGAGCCCTTGTCCGCGGATTTGGCGGGACCATACGACCTGATTCTCGCGGCGGACTGCGTGTACTTTGAACCCGCATTCCCGCTGCTCGTGCAGACTTTATGCGATCTCCTTCCACCCGATGCCAAAACGGAGACATACTTTTGTTACAAGAAGCGCAGAAAGGTGTGCCCCGGCCATGCTGATGTAACTGCGGCAGCTGATGCCATAGTATAGGCGGACAAGCGCTTCTTCACGCTGCTAAAAAAGTACTTTACATGGGAGGACGTGAGTACAGCTTGTGCAAATTCCGGTCGCATCTCATAGTTGTTTCTCGAACAGGTGGAAGATAATCCAGAACGTGAAATGTATTCCCGCGAGGCCATCTCCTTGTTGCGATTACGCAGGAAGCCGCTTTGAACGTGAGTTGAAGTCACGTCGTCTCCTGGCTCTCCGGCTTCCATATAGCCCCGGTGGAAAGAATGGGAAGTGCAGGTCTACAATGTGTATGCATAGATACATCCGGGTGTCGCTTTGCTGTGCATGATGATGTTATATTCGAGCGGCTCGGACATACGGGGGAGGAGGTGCCTGTGCAACGATCGAGTTGACCCGCACGACGCTTACTGCATGGTCATCCCGATCCGCGTATAAGCTATTTGGGCTGCAGCGTGCTTTGCGGATAATTGACTGACCCTGGACGGCTACTCAGACTGTCCAGGTCCTCCCGCGCGAGTCGATGATAACGTGCGTGCTCGTTGACTGTGTTGATCTAGCTACTCAACGTGTGCACCCCGGTCGGCAGCCTCGCATATCCATTTTGTCATTGCATGTACAGTCTGTGACTGTCCATGACGAGTGCTCGTTCACGTTGTGCGCATCCTGGCAGCGCCGGCAACCTCGCCACGAACGTCCGTGATGATCGGTCGGCGACTTCCGAGCCGGTTATCAAGGTGCGAGCCCAACTCGACGCTGTGCACGGCGATCGACTACATGCGCCTGATTCACAGACGGATATGCGGCTGGATGTCCCGCAACTTGAGTAACCAATTGCTCTCTGTTAACGCGGATCCGCGATCAGGACATGACAACACATTTCGAGTGGCATCTACTTCTGGGCCGACACAGTGTCAAACACCAGTACAGCTTGCCCATACGTTCAAGTTGCTCGAACGAATTGTACGCTTAAACGAGGTCTATGCGGTGACCGTACAGATGATCTTAAGTTTTGTCGGCGGTTTATCAGGTTAGCCACTTCATGTGCGAGCGCCATGCTGAGCTCGTAACTCCGTGACATAGCGATCGACGGAAGCACTGCATATAGACGCAATCGAGCGTGTCATGTCATTTCTTGTGGGTCCATATGCAGTCTAGCCGTGACGCCAGTACACTGACCGTGGATTAGGATCGAAAAGAATGTGGAATTTGGCTGTATGTGGCACCGAGCTGTGCCCCCCCGACACCTTCGGTTCGATTCGCGCAACACGTCTCTGACGCAGTTCTATGACCCGAGTACTACAGAACTCAGGTGCGTAATTGCACAAGCCAATAACCAGGCGATCTGTTCATGATTCATCATCTTGCACTGTTTGAGACCGCAACCCGGGCCGCGAGCCTTCCTTCTTAGCTTCTCCAAATAGTTCATCTTTCTTGTCTTCCTGATCTCGGTATGTAACCGATTGGGACATGACTTCACTACCAGGGTACCGCTCGCAGGGCATCGCGACGTTTGTTGGTATTGGAAGAAAGCGTGGGATGTTAGTGATGGTGAGCGGCGTGCTACTTCGCTCATCTGATGATGCCTCCATCAAGGACGAGGATGTTGACGGTAGCATCCAAAGGTAAGGCTGACGCACCTCGTCAGTCTCGGTCAGAAGGTACTGGCCACGTCGATTCGTGAATCCGGCGCCAACGCCGAGCTTCTGCGTCTATGCCGTTCGCCGTGCGACCTAGTCGTCGAAATCATCCGATGGTTGCATGGTGCTCACGAGATAAGTCTGCCATCATCCTACAACTCGAATAATGCCGTATTGGATACTGCAGGTGACCAGATGAGTCCATTCACCGGGGAAAATGGCGCGGGGGGCAGTTAAGCGGGTTCACATTTCAATCTGTTCTCTAGCCCCATCTCTCCTAGAGCAAGACGCCCAATTTAGTTACGATACCTTGGTAGGGAGAGTTACTGGTTTTGTAAGCTTTCATGTAGTGGGGTTCACAACGCATCATCGCATAGCGTAGCCTGCGACACACCGTATTCGGACTACTAGTGTGTTATGCCAAAGTGGGGACGAAGCAATCAAGATGACATGGCCATGTATGGATGTGTAAAGCGAGTGGTAAGCACGACAGCACATACATCGACGGAGAGCCCATTCCGCGAGACGTAAAGAATGAAGCGAGACAGAGCATAGTGAGCAAGTGGAAGGGGTAGCGCGGGAGGAACGAAGAAAGTAAACGAGGAGGCCGTAAGTGAGCATCTGCAGGGTATTAAAAGAAAAGCAGGTCGTAAAACTCGTCGCAAACGTCAGGAACCGTAGGTAACCAGTAGTCTATATCGAAGGGGAGCTGGGACCTCCACTTATGCCTTCTCAGGCGTCTTGTCTTTATGGAAAGCCTCCTTGACCTTGCCGAAGATGCTGAGGCGCTTCTTGCGCGACGAGTCCTTGACAGACTCTGAGACGCTCCTGCTCTTTTCAGGCGTAACGTCTCCCGAGCTCTGCCGCCGATGACCAGGGAACTTGAGGCCGCGCAGAGTGCCGCTGCGCGTTGTAGTGGGCTTGCCATTACTGGCAGGAGTAGCGGGTGCCGAGGGCGTCTCCTTCTTGGGCGTAGAAGGCGCAGAGGCCGATGTAGTCTCAGAGGCCTTGGGCTCAGTCGACTTCACCTCCTCAACAGCCTTAGGCTCTTCAGTGAGCTTCGGCGGTTCGACCGAAGCTACTTCTTTGTTCTCGGCCTCGACAGGGGGCGCCGCCAGGACATCAGGAGCAATGGGTTTATCCTCAGAGACGGTCTCCGCCGGTGTTGTCTCCTGGGGAGAGGCAACTGTAGCCGTGGTCGGGACAGCAGCCACCGGAGCGGCATCTGTGACAGGCTTAGGCTTGGGCATCGCCGCAGCCATCATGGCAGCCCAGTTGGAGTTCGACGACGAAACGAGACCACCGGCAGTAACGTCACTGCTGACAGGCGCGGCGGTGGGTGTAGTCTCCTTGGGCTCGTCCTTCGAGACGCTGATGGGCTCTGCAGCAAGAACGGGAGGCGCCGCCTCAGGAGGGGGCTCATTCGCCGTCGTCTCAATCTTCTCAATCTGCACTGGTGCAACATCAACCGCGGGGACAGTGGCCTCGACAACCTTCGGAGCGTTGGCGGCAGGCAATGGGATGTGCGTGGAGCCAACCGGGGGCACATCTTCGCCAGCAGCAACGACTGCGGTACCCGGCACGACGGAGGGCTCAGGAGCGGTGGTTGCCGGCTCCTCAGTCGAAGCAACAGGGATGATGCCAACGGGCACATCAGGAGCGTCTTTCACCTCCGGAGCAGGCTCAGGGGCGGGCATCGGGGGCGGGCTGGCAGGTGCCGGGGGAGATGTGGACTGTTACATCGTCAGTGACATGCTTTCGAAGCGCAAAACCACGCTTACCCTGGGACTGATGCTCGGGACGAACGATGCGACAGCGCCCTTGACGTAGTCGAACATAGTCTTGGTTGGCTCAGCAGCCTGTGGGGTCGGAGCGTCGATGCCGCCGTTGAGCTGCTCAGCAAATGCGGATGCAGCATCAGTGACCGGGGCAGCCGTGTCCTTGACGTCGTCAAGAAGCGTCTTCGGTTGCTCGTCGGCAGCAGGGGTCGCGGCATCGTGCGCAGAAAGGGTCTGCTCAGCGAAATCCTTCGCGGCAGAGATGACCGAGCCATTGACGACGGGCTCGGGAGCCGGCTCAATGGCGGCCTCGGAGGCGGCCTCTGTTGCGGGTGTAGGAGTGGGTTCGGCCACAGGCTCAGGCGCAGCCTCGGCGAGAGGCTCGCTGACCGGCTCAGGCTCAGGCCCAGTTGTGGTTGAAGGAACGGCAGGCTCGGGTTCTGCTGCACTGGTCGGCTCGGGTGCAGGAACAGGCTTCTCTGGAGCGGTGTAGACGTTGTTCACGAATCCTCCGTCGGCCTCAGAAGGAGCTGCCTCGTCGGTGACCCACATGCCGTCGACAATGAACTTATATTGGATCTTCTCGCCATATGGGATGCGTACAGGGCCTTCGAATCCTGTCGGCGTTCGCTCCAGGCGAACAGACGAAGACCACTATTGGGAAGATGGTAAGCGGACGGTTCGTTCACAAACCGTGAACCGAGCCTGAGTTCGAGAAGAATATGACCGCGGTTATGACCCCCTTCACACAAGGTGCGAGCGTGGTGGGAGAACCGAATGTATCCCGCGATGTCTCGATTGGGGAATCTGATAGAGGACCAATGAGGGGTCGGCGGAGGTCGGCCGCATGCATGTCCACGAAGCGGGGCGTGGACGAAGAGCTCGGTGAGGTATAGAGAGGAAGTATTGTGCCTGGGAAGGCATGCAGATGGTGGACGTGAATGATGAGGAGAGACTCGCCTGGTCAAAAGTACCGGTGACAAGAACCTCGTTAGCGTCGGTATGCGGCCTGTCAACGATGCATGAGCGCCATAAACTCTCTCAATTTCCGGGTGCAGAGCATATAAAAAGCACGCGCGCTTAAGAAACGTACCAACGCATCACAAACTCGTGCAGGTCAGACGAGGACATCGTGGAATAGAGCCGTGGACGCGTGTACTGTTCGTGTTGTCCCGTTTTGTCAGCCAAATCAGATTCTGAGCCCCCCAGAAGATGCACAACGCACAATATTGACGAGCTTGTCTCCGGGTTCGACGCCGCGAATCGACCTGTGATTCGAAAGTGGCGGTCAAGAGCGAGGGGTGCCGACTCGAGGGAACTGCAGTCGTCCGAGAACACACGCGAGGTTGTTCGCGCCTACCACGTGTCTCAATAAACGTAAGGCCGAGCCGAGCTTCTTCTAAGAACTTGCTTTCGGCCATCATCAACACATCATATGCATCATCAACCTCTTCTGTGCCAGTTCTTGCCAGCGGTACCGTGTCCACGGTCTGAAGCCAGCCAATCCGGTTCCCTCTACAACAATTGTGTTTCCAGCTTGACATGGTCTTTCAAATCGCCAAATGCACCCCTTTGCTTCACAGTGATTGCCTCTCGTGGGCCAATATCTTTCGGGAAAGGATCGTGGCTCTATATCACCGCTTGCACGCGCCTATGGTAGCGATATAGCCCGTTGCTATGAGCCCTCTGCCCTCAAGTACCGATGACCCGAACCCGCAAGTTGCGGCGTAGGTGCAACAGCGCCTAATTTGTCAAAACAGTCATAACGGAACACACCACATCCTCGAATGGTATGGTACTATGCGTCGGAGTCCACGCCCACGCTTCTTTCGGAGCTGAAGTCCTGAGGTGTGAGACCCGCCAATACAGTTGTCGGAGCTGTTTGCATCGACGATACGAAGGTTGGGCTGCCGCCCGTATATGAGTTGGACCGAGTTCCAATACTCCTATGCTTATCTCATCGACTATAATGATGCATGTGTGCTTACTGGTCGTCGGCGACAGCTACTGACGCGGACGAGTCGATCATTCAAGCACGTTGACTTCTTCGACTTCCTTGAGGCGATATATCGTGCTGCCGGCTCTGGTAGCGATGAAGGGTGGCTGCGAACCGTGGAGCAAGCTTGGCTAGCGCCCACAACTGCGGACAATCATTCCACGAGACCGTCACGGTTCCGAACGTTCTGTATGGGCTCTCAATCACCATTGACCTCATCCGAGTATCCTGACCCTCGTCCGACGGCTCGCGGTACATTTCTCAGAGAAAGGTGACAGCATGGACCTGAGACGGGCACTACACTAGTCATATCGATACGGGCCGGCGCAAACCAGCCGGACGGAGATGATTAGGGCCTTTCAACCCGAGAAGAGTAGTTCGCCGTGATGCCGTGCTTAAACTCCGACCTTCAGGATGTATAAAAGGGCAAGCACGAGCTCCGAGATCTGTGCGGTCGACCGCCATCTCCCACCGAGCGTTAGTAAGACGGACGCGCAAGCTGTGCGTACGCGTTTCCCCGCTTTTGATACCTTTGCGAGATGCTGACGGACCCATCTGCACAGACCTGAAATTTGTTGCCTGCGCTCAACTCGAGCCTCGCGTGCCTCCCAGGAGGTCGCCAACCTTTGCACATTGGTATCATCGCGCTTCTTATATTGGCGTGCGTAGCTCCATCCCGAGAAGGTGCGTCTGTTTTCAAGATTAGGGCGAGGTCTTGTCGTAGACTCACGACAGAGTTGTAGTGACTCGCCCATCTCGAGGCCTTTTCTCTGGTATGCAGCGTCGGACGCCTCTATAAGAGCTGCGTGTACGAACGATCAAATTCTGGCGTCACCCGTGGAAGGGTGGCTTGGGCATGTCGCTGTCGCTGTTCACATTCTTTTCATAACGCCGTTGTACCACACACACTCTTTCGCTCGGTCTCAGACTCCCCGTTATCATCTTGAAATGCCACTCTCCTTGCTCAAGTAGTTCACTGAAGTCGACGCAGAAAGGAAGAAGGAAGAAGATAGGATGATACAATGTATGTTGCAAACTATATAATGTTGCGACCGTCGAAATTGTTCTCATTCATCGAACACAACGTCAACCGTACGGTGTGCCGCTCGCCACAGTAAGACCTGTTCTGTGGCGCGTCAATGATCACTCTGCGTCAAAAGACCGAGGGAATCATGAAAGGCTTACCGAACTCCCCTATGGTTCAACGCCTTGCTTCGCCTTTTGATCTAAGGTTCGCGACATCGGGAAGGTAGCCTCAAAGCATCGCAGCTTGTGTTCCTCCTTCCAGGCTCGGGATTGGCATTCGGGGCCACAGTACCAAGCCGACTTGCATCTCGAGCAATTGAGATCTACATCCTCCTCCAGACAGACTGCGCAATCAGCATCGCCCTCAATACCGGAGGAGAATGTCGTCAACCAGGCGTGTCGGAGGGCACTCAGGTATGTCGGCCCGATACCGTCCATACCTGCTACTTCAAGAGATCCCACGAGTACGCGTATGGGATCTTTCGGTTTGGTGCTGTTCCCTTTTGCAACTTCAGGATCCTGCGGCGCCATTGACGGTTTGAGTTTCTCCACTACCGCCTGCCTCAGAGGTAGATCGATGCATGCTCTCCCATCATCTCCCCAGGAGGAGTCTCCGAAGACGACTATGGTATAGAGCTGTCTGCACACGGCTGACAGACTACCAGGCTTCGCTGTGAACTCGACGCCGTTGACGATGGCTCTCGCGATGAGGCTAGCAAGGTCTTTTGCGTGTTCCTCGGACGTGAAGAAATTTCGCAAGTAAGGATTACTAGGCCTGCCATCGACTGGATTGCCGAGAAGCGATATGATACGGATGTAGATCGATATCGCTTTCGGCTGTGCCTCAAGGGACAGGGTGCGTAGGACTGTCACAAGACGCTCCAGATATTTGGCAGCGAAGGCGCACTCAACAGACTCTGCGGCATGCTTGGGTAGATTGGATTTGGCCTTGAGCTGCTCAGATACATGAGCCAACCGTAGCGCCAAAGACAGTGCAAGACGTTTCTCGCCTGCTCTACAATAGCATCGTACTCATCGCTTGTGAAATCGATACCCGCGGGCAACGGCTCGCTATCCGGAGTCAATCGCGCCCTTTGCGCAAGCCGATCTGCCGCGGCCGTGCATTCCTTCATAAGGTTTGTAACTTCCCTCGCAGGAAGCTTGGGCATATAGTTGGGGCGAGATGACATTGCGAAGTGTTAGATGGCGATGGTGGACAGAAGCAACGTTCTACGATCGATACAGGAACGTAGGCTGGAGGCGACCCACGGCTATGCACGATCGACATCTCAGCGGTCACTTCACACCCACTGCCCACTGCACAACACCAACATCGATGGACAGGACTACATTACATTCAATTCCCGTGCACGCTTTGTAACCAGTATCTAGAGCTCAT